GTAGTCAATGAGATCTTCCTCGTGAGACATGTTGATTGCTGGCTGTAAGATTAAACTTTGTCGAGCGGCGAAAGAGAAAACTCTAGGTGTCGCGGCGCGCGCTTTTCTGAGAAGCAGCGAGCTTGGAGTTTACGGTAGCGAATCAAAAGGAAAGAGAAACTGGGTCTGAAGTTGAGATGAAAAAGCAAGAGAGTCGTGAAAATCAAAAGAATTTCTCCTTGAATTCTATGAGATGAATTGAAGGATGAGTGAAGACAGGTGAAAGAGGGAGGCGATGGAGTTGGGGAGAGAAGAGCGAAGTCGCGGGAGTGATGAAAGGCGAGCGAGTTCAAAGACAGCTGGTCACGTGCCGTGTATTAGTCATAGTAAGCGGTCTTTCTTTGTTCGGCTTAGCGCTGATGTTTGCCACTCGAAGCTTCTATCCGTTGTTGGGTCTGTTTGCGGTCTTCTTTCTTGCGCCGCCAACGATTTCCAGCGCCTCGAGATGGCCAAAGTCAAGGGCAAAAAGGGCTCGGCGGGAGGAGTGAACAGCCACATCCGCGCCAGATTAAACTATCTGCATACCGCTGCTACATATCTACAAACGGGAGCAATTCCCTCCAAACGATCTACAGGCCTGGTTCCCCGCGAGAGCGCCGAGGCGGAGGACAAAGAATCGGAGCCTGTTTCAAGTCGCATTGTGCCGCAAGTTGTGAATAATGACGAGGCGATGTCTGAGGAACCTCTTTGTACCCAAAGCACGACGGCCCTAATCCCAACTCATCATAATACGCACCTTTCGCGAGTGCTCATTTCACACATGCGCGGGGTGTCTTTGAAATCCCAGCTTCGTCTTCCGGTTGATGTGAAACGGTCTTTCTGTAAACGCTGCGAGTCACTTCTGGTTCCTGGTGTCAATTCGATCCAAGAGATTAGGAATGACAGCCGTGGCCGCAGCAAGCCGTGGGCGGATGTTTTGGTCGTACGATGCACCACGTGCGGCACGGAAAAGCGTTTTCCTCAAACAGAGAAACGAAGTCAAAAGTTGCCAGAGCGTCGCAAAATGCAAGAACCATCAGCGGAAGCAGCGACAATACCTTGAGCTCCATCCAGTGCATAATGGTGTAATCGACCGCAGGCGGCAAACTTTCCCTAACTTGATGGCATCGGAGTACCGTGCTTTGTCTGCCTAGCTTCGGAAGTCAACCTCGATCGGTGCCCTCTAGCGCTATGACCATTCACATGTTTTACCTCGGATGCTGTCCTTGATTTGGCGGACTCTCAGTGATAGCACCATGAATCCTTGATGAAGGCGATTGCACGAACACCACCATTCGACTGGCATGGTGTTACCACCGCAATTGGCACAAGCTTTGTGAGAGTACAAGGTGCTGCAATGCGGTTGGATGACCATCGTCAAATCGCGAGCACAGCATGAAATAGCCATAAATTTCGACTAGTCTAGCAATCTCGTTACAGGTGCTGTACGGAGGCTCATGGATTCGTTCTGATCGGACGATATGATCCAAGTGGTACGATCCAGACAGGAAATAGCAGTGGAAAATGCGACAGATAATCTCAACGAGACACATTATCATATGGAAGGACATTAAAAGCCTGTCAGCGACGCTGGGGCTCTCTCATTGATGGTCATAACAAATAATCCCGGTGAACAAACACATTGTACCTAGAAGTGTGACAGCCGCTCAATAAAACACATGGATAGGAATGCTGATAGGGGAATCGCAACGTCATACAAGAGACAGCGTATCCAAGTTGGTTAAACAAAAATAAAATCGCCAAGGAAATAAGAGACATGGAAAAATGAAAGAATAGTGACAAACAAAAAGGAACTCCGGGGAGAACACCATGCTTATTCCTGTCGATTTTTGATTCAATATAAAATCCAAAGTTGCCGCGAGGCAGGTATCTCAGTCTTTAGACAACGATCCTCTCCAAAGCACCAAGCTAGACGGACAAAGAAAAGAAAAAAGAAATCTCCAGCGCAGCACTCATGCTGCATATGGGCATTAAATCAGTGATCAAACGATTGCAACAGCGGCATAAGTCGTAATAACACAAGGTCCGTGAGGACATGAGCGGTATATAAACACGTGGGTTTCCTTTTGCCCCTTGGGGGCAATCTGTTTTCGAGCATAGCTCCTTCTTTCGGTTTTCAGAGGTTTCATAGCGGATGTACTTGGTCGTGCTGGTAGTATCGTATTGTAGGTCATGGTCGTTATCATCCAGGGACATAAAGGGAATCAAAAGGCGTTAAGAGATGGTGTAGGTGGTCGGAAACAGAGAGCGTGGGGAAACTGAGCAAGTGCCTCCAGGGCAAAGGCATCGTTCAGGGTAGGCGAGAATGGAAGAAGCTGAATGAACGTAGAAGTGAAATGGCAGGGACATGATCGAGTGGAGTGTGGTTCGGCGAGTCAGATGGGACCGATCGGATGGATGGGACTGATGGCGCGCATCAACGTCTGCGACGGGCGGCCTGGTCAAGACGTTGGTCGAGTCCTTCTATTCGACCACGGTAGGCCTTCACAATTTCTCTGATATGTCCAATCTTTGCCATCTCGTTCTCCAATTCATCGATTGAGGCTAGGATCGAGCGAGTGCGGGCAATCTCGGCGTCAGCGTTGCAGATGACGTTCCCGGCGCGGTCGTAACTGTTTTGAAGCGAAAGTTGCATTTGTTCCTCGAGCTGCGATAGATTACAGCGTTAGTATCCGGTTTACTGGTTGGGCAATGTGAGGATATGCAAGTGGGACAGGTGCTGTGGAACATCGATCGTCTGACATGTTTCCACAACTTGGGAGTCGCCGACATGGGTATCATCGCGTTGAGAGAAGCAAAAACAAAGGGAGCGAATGCACCCAAGGAACGCGCGGGGGTCGACGACGTGAATGCGAGCGGTAGTAGAGAAAGCGGGAGAATGGCAAGCAACGTACATAATCGAGGCGACTCCGAATCTGCTCTTGCAAAGCATCCAACTGATGGGAGAGCGCTCGGAGACTCATAGGATCTAACAACAATCGACCGTGGCTGCTGGCGGCGCTGGCGGCGCTGGCGGCACGCGAACTGGAGTTGCTGGTTCGGCCGGTCCCTCTGCCCCTGGAAATCCCATTTCCGGCGTGGCCACCCTGTAGCGCAATCTGCTGTTGTTGCCGGAGGATCTGGATCTCGGAGGAAGTAAGGCCAAGCGAAGTGTCGGGGATCGAGGCTGATACGGACATTTGGTCCCGGCAGAGACATGCTCCAACCGCGACAGGTGTCTAGGAAGCGCCGGTCGATCTCGATGTGTGGAGATGGGACGGACCGAAGTTCATGATGATGACCGAAACAAGCGCAGAAAAGTGGAAATCGAGTCAGGAGGAGAAAAGAAAAGAAGAAGAGAAAAAAAAAATATAAAAGAGAGAGAGGGGGACTTGAATTCGACTTGGCACGATGATTCCTTTTTCTTTTGTCTTTTTTCTTTACTTTTTGCTTTTATTTATTTTATCTTCGAAAAGAATGAGAATAAAATCAAAGTCGGCCTTAAGAGAATTGAATTAATAATGAGTCTCTTCCTCTGCGGTGGTCTGGATTTTCGTGTCGGATCTTCTCCTCTTCTCGCCTAAATAGAATCAATGTCAGCACGAGAGAAGGCCTCCAAGGAGCGATATCTGGAGTGACATTGGGCGCCGAGAGGGATGATGGTGGGAGGAAAGAACGGAGGAGAAACCATTCGTGAAGGAGTCGGGGTTACACTGACGAGAATGCGATTCGATGTAGAAGACGGAGCCGAAAGATGCTCAGGGATGCCTCGGACGGGGAGGATGGGAGAGGAACGAGAAGAAGGCCGGAGAGCGAATGAATGAAAGGAATGGAGACGAGCCCTGGATCAGCCTTGCCGATTCGATATGATGATATCCCGATGCTTAGTGATGCCATGGACAGGGTAGTTAGTTACATAGTTACAGCCATTAGATCATATCCTATCATGTCATATCATATTCTTTTCTGATTGATTCATTATGCCCATAGGTACGGAGTAGTGTACCTTCCTACAGTCTGTATCTACTCAGAGTGAGTGGTTCTACGGTTGAAATTCCCTATCAGATTTTCATACTTGCTATACGGCAGCCGCGGTCACCTGCTCTCTTCGCCTTTCACCACTTCGGCTCCCCTGCTTCCACCTCTACCTCTCGACATTTCTAAATCTCTCTAACTCTACTACTTTGCATATTAGCCATCCAATATCCATCTTCCTTCCGCCCAAATCAATCCAATCCCGTCCAATCCGTTCCTCTCCCCCACCCGCCGATCGGCAATCACACCGCCCTAGATTCGCCGCATATTAGCGCTTCTGCAAACGCCCACCATCCCGTCCATCCTATCGCCGATTCCTCATTCCCATCCTCTCGAAACAAGGAAACCTAGTCCTAAATCCCGCTGCCCAACCAGTGAGGCTAAAATTCCGCGCCGACCTATTCTTTCGGCCTATTGATTGGTCCTCTCTGCTTTTCCTGCGCCTGGGGAGAAAAGTCCGAGACGTCCGCGCTGACTCGCCGCAAAATAGCGCGCGCATCCGTCATTTTTCTTTCCCGGATTGATGCCTCGGGGCTTTTGATCTTAGCCTGTAAGATCCTCTTTACTCTTGTTGGTTGGTGTGCTTTTCTCCTCTTTTTTGCTTTTTCTTTTTCTTTTTCTCGTTTCCGGGGACGGACCGGCGGCGTTTGCGCGGTTTTACGCAGAAAAGGAAAGCTCCTAGTAGAGCTAGCTGCCCAGACCTGAGCTGTTTGTCGGTCGTATCACTCGGAGTACCTACCAAGAGGATACGGAAGGAACTCCAAGGGTATAGAGTCGACTGAGAAGCTAATCCCCGCGTTTGTGTTGTTTCAGGTATCCTATCCAACTATTCAGTCATCGGCAACCCTTCCACATACTCACCTAAGTTACTCGAATACCCCCCTCCACCAGACGAACTCCAATCTCCACCTCAACCTAAACAGCACCATCACAACCCACCCTCCAAAATGCCCAAAGACAAAGAGCGATCGATGAACCCCGCCGCGGCGCAACGCAAACTCGACAAGCAGAAGAACCTCAAAAAAAGCAAAGCCGAGGCGCTGACCCGGCGGAACGAGAAGCTAGCGCGCCGCAACCCCGAGCGCATTCAACGACAGATCAATGACCTCAAATCAGCAGAAGAGACGGGCCAGCAGCTGCGACCGCGCGACAAGGAGCTCCTGGAGGCCCTGGAGCGGGATCTACGGGCCGTGCAGAAGGCGCGCGAAGCGCTGGGTGACAAGGCGCCGAAGTTCGAGAGCTCGGGGCCAAGACACAGAGGAAATGAGGGACGGAGCGATGGGGCTGGAGTGCTAGGGAAGAGAAGACGGGATGGGCCTGGCCACGGACAGCGCTTCGGACAAGACGGTGACAGCAGCGAGACGGACGAGGAGGTTCGACGGATTCCAATGCCCCGAGATACGCCGCCGCCTATACCCCGACAATACCAGAAACGGAGGGACGGGAACTCTGGCTCTGGTGGTCCTCGGGGACCGCATGCGCTGCCCATGAAACCGCCTGTTACAGAATCCAAGACAGTCTATGAAGCCAAGCCGGAGATCAAGGATCTGCGACGGGAAGCTATCAACATGTTTGTCCCGGCGGCTGTCCGGGCAAAACAGGAGTCTATCCGAGGACAAGGGAAACTACTTGAACCGGAGGAGATGGACCGGCTCGAGAAAGCAGGATACAACGCTGGCCCGACACAGCCCGGTGAAAATGACGGCACGAATCAACAAGATGCCACGGGTGGCGGTGATGGAGACGAAGTTGATGATGATACCCAGCGCAGGCTCCTGGAAGAAGAGCGACGGTTCAACCAGGAACTGAAATCTGTGCAGATCGAAGAAGTCGAAGACGAAGAGGCGTGACTGAGACCCATACCTTGATGAATAGCTGAATAGCTAGAACTAATTCCCACCCACCGGCCAGTTCCACTGCCGCAAAAAACAAGGCTTGTACAGTATATCAAAAAACAAAAACAAATCAGAACATCCATCATATATGTCCTGGCTATCCACTACGTCTCTAGACACTCTCGCTCCAATCAATCATGGTCATGAAGAAATCAATATCATCCTCAAGGATACGTAATCCAATTGATATTCCGCAATTCTATAGCAGAACTTCAAACAAAAAAGACAAAGATAAGAAAACAAAAATCACTATTTACTTACATCCGTAAGAAAGAAAAAGGAGAAAAGAGAAAAAGAAAACCAGTTGACGCCTAACCAAAGAAGGCCACCAATATAAGCGCCTGTCGATTGGAAAAAAAAAAAACCAAAAGACAAAAGAGGACCTAGAGAAGGGAAAAAAGAAAACAGTCCATGGAGTAGAAACGAGTGACAGACCACTATCCAATGTGAAGTTGAGATAGAAAGGCCGAAGAAAAGCCAGGATTGGAGACAATAGACCACCCAAAAGCACAAAAAACCGGCTGTCATATGCAAAAGTAGCTGTACAGTATTCCAAGGAATAGGAAGGAAACAAATGGGAAACACGGACATCACAGCGTCAAGAACAAAGGAAATAGCGAGTGTTGGGGTCTCAGTGTAAAAGCACTTTCAAAATAGAAGTGTAGACAGAAGTAGAAGAAATGAAAAGCGGCGCGAGATCAATGCATCGAGGATCCATGACTCGCATGGGTAACTTCGCTCTTGAAAATGCATTCCACCCAGGGCCTTTGAACGCCAGAAATGTGTAATTATTAAGACGTATGAGATAAGAAAGAAGAGAATGCAAGGCACTGAAGAGGACGCAGTCGTCTCTGTTCCTGTTGTGGGCAGTAACTTCACCGGATCAACCGGAGAAAATTATAGACAGCAAATGAGGAACCGTTATGAGATTACCTCAAGTTGCGGATAACTTTGCGGCCACGAGCCAGGAACGGACTGGGCATTTCGTCTCTTTCGGGATCCCATACAGCAGGAGGATCACGCTCGACTGAAGACTTCATACTGCTCGTCGTCCTGGTGTCGCTTGCAGATCGCTTGACTTCATCGATAGGTCGTCCACCGGCCCGTGCTTGAGCAAGTTCGACCAGGGTTCTGCCGCCCATGTTGCGTTGCATGACGGCTTTGAACATCTCCTCACCACCGCCGTTGACTTTAGATGGGGGTTGCTTCGAGGCTGTTTTACGGGTTGGTGATCCGGCATCGGCAGCAAGGTTCGCTGATGATGCGATCTTTGACAAGCGTCGATGGGGCGACCTGGACTTCTGTTCGCCGTGGCGGCCCTCGGATTGACCTGATGCCTGAGGCAGTCTGGAGCCATTCGTCGGGAAAAGAGGAGGCTGAGTGCTCAATTTTTGCATGAGCGCGGCAGTGTTCTGACGGAGGAGAGGTCGAGATGGGGCCTTAAAAGGGTCAGGCTTGACTTTAGGCCGAGTTGGCGAGGGCAGGTCGGGTGTGTCATCTTCGTCGTCCGAGTACGCAAGCGTGGGCTCCCACTTGGCTCGGTGTCGTTCAGCCTCCGCAAAGATGTTCTTGCCTGAGTGTGTCGCGGAAGTGCGACGGGGCGATAGAGAGAGAGACGCAATCGAAATCGGAGATGGCTCAGCCATCTGTACATCAACAGGCGACTCAACCACCGTTTTGGAGCGGCTAAAAGGCGTCCGAGTCTCCTTCTTGGTTGGCTTACTAGCCACAGGCGATTCCATAGACAGCTGCGTGATGTCTGTACTCGAAGGGAGATCTGTGTCATCGTTATTACTGACGGATGACTGCGAGCCTCGTCGACTGGAACGGCTAGACCGACTTGAGCGGAAGGCAGGCTCGTCCCTGAAGTTGCCATTCTTTTTGAGCTTTTCGACCTCCAAGGCAACCCGATCCTGCACTTCAGACTCGAACCTCTTGCGGAGTCTTTCCAGTTCGCTCTGCACCTGGCGATCGATTTCTAGGCGCGCCTTCACCTCCCACTCCCGGCGCAGTGTATTTTCAAGCTCAACCTTAATCTGCTGCTTCTCCTTTTCCATTTTAGCGAAAACCTGTTCCACGTCTCGGTTCTTCTGGAGATTGGATTCTTCTCGCTTTCGCAGGGCCCGGCTCAGGTCGACGACCTCCTTCTCCTTTCGCATCAAACGAATGATGGGGAGATTGATCAAAGTGGCGGTGTCGGGGCGGTGGTCGGGGTTCACGCGCAAACAGCTGGCAATGACGCTCTTCAGCTCGGCAGAGTAGAAGTCAGGCAGAGAAGCAAATTTTCCGTCGCGGATCTTTTGGATCAATTGGATATGGGTTCTGGCGTTAAACGGAGGTTCCTTCTGGCACAGCTCGTACATGATACAACCAACAGCCCAGATATCAGAGCGCAAGGTGTATTTCTCCGCGGCACATATCTCAGGAGACATGTAGAAAGGAGTACCAACGTAGGTGGAAGCGAAGTCGTGGGAAGCCATCACTTTCGAGAGACCAAAGTCGCCGAGCTTGACCGAGTTGTCGCTGCCGAGGAAGATGTTCTCTGGTTTGAGATCACGATGCAAGATGGTCATCTGTGCCTGCTTCCCCTTGAGACCTGAGGGCTTAGATGCTGGCCCGAGGATGTTGGATCCAACATCGCCCGGATCCACCCCATAATGGCAACGGTAGAGCGCCGTCACCAACTGGGACAAGATCCGCCAGACAAACTCTTCATCTGCGTATTTATTTGTCTTCTTCAGATTCTTTATGACCATGCTCAGATCACCGCCTCCACAGTATTCCATGTATAGATACAAGTCTTGGCTTGCCTTGAGGTGCTCTCGGTGGTAATAGGCGACGATGTTCGGGTGCCTCAGTGAGCTCAGGATATTGAATTCGGCGGTCAGCTGTTCACGCTCTTTCTGGGACATCTTGATGTAGTTGATCTCTTTGCGGCAAAGTATCTATTAAGGTGATATGTGGTTAGCCTAGTGAATACCTAAAGAAATTTCAGAACTTCTTACAAAGCCATCTTGTTTCCGTTTGACTTTGCGAATGATCCCAAAAGAACCGCAACCTGGCGGGAAAGTCAGTTTCACAGACTATCATCTCGAGTAGACAATATCGATGGCGAGGTTGTCATACCAATCTTCTCAAGTATCTCATACTTGTCGGCCTCCGCGAGTGCAATTGCCATTGTGGCTGCTGAGGGAAATTCGAGCCACTGGCAAAGAGTCGAGGACAAAGATGAAGGTGACGAGGAGAGGGAAATCGAGGGAGCAGAGGAGTGAAGGTGTGTTCTAGCTCATTTATGGGAGAGGTTGGGAGAGGTGGAGGCCTGTACTGTTAGTATCTGTCGGGTGAAATTGGAGGCATGTAGAAGCGTTGTAGATTTAAAGAAGTCAGTATGCAACGGGGTTGGAAGGTCCTGGATGTTTAGTTGGTGTTTGTTGCTGAGCAACGGCCGCTGCCATGACTCTATGCTTCATGCAGCAGGCGGTGTCGGGTTTTTAGTGCGGGCGGTGTAGCTCGGGGTGCATCGTCACTGGTCTCGTCATACACCATTACGGAGTACTCCGTCCATCTATCTCCTTTGTTCAGATCCATGACAGTGCATGTAGTGGCAGATCCACCTGTCGAACTTTCCGGTGATCTCCAGGGACAAACTATAGAGCAATGTATTGCATCCCAAGTGTGAATCCTGGCGTGAGAGGCTGCAAGGACGAGCTTGTTGCACAGATCGGCAGCCCCTTTCAACCACTCGGCGTGGCAAGAGGTCACCCACGTGACCATCACCTTATCGATAAGGGCGGATGGCCGTTTGGCGGTCCAGCACCTCCGCGGCTTTCATCATAATTATTCGCCTGCCCGTTTCTTCCGGTGATCAACCACGACCCCTCAGAAGGTCTCACAATGGCTGAACCAACGGCTGAACCGACCGTGCTTCGCAAGGATCAACTGGAAATCAGCTTACATAACGAGAAGAAGTTGATCAAGGAAGGAACCATCAAGGACGACAACCCTCTGGATCTCAGTGAGCCGTTTCGGGAGCTCTGCAATGCTTGTCGTAAGGGGGATCTGAAAGTTTGCCAGGAAAAAATCACGGAAGGTGTCAATATCAATGCTCGCGATCCCTATGACTACACCCCCTTGATTCTAGTGAGTGATTCGAAGTCGCCTGGCAACTCCCCCAGCAATGCACCTGCAGAGCCGTTGGTTTTGGGCCAGTTAGTGACCAAGATTTGTGGAAAAGGCCAGTCTCTGTGGCCATTATGAAGTTGTCCAGCTGCTTCTCGAATCGGGCGCATTATGCGAGCGAGACACGTTTCAAGGCGAAAGGTTATTTTGTCCCCTCCCTGATCATCCATGGATTTAAATTGCATGTTCAGCTGACACTCGGACATTTGCGCAGATGTCTATATAATGCATTGAACGATCGCATCCGGAACCTTCTACTTGAATATGACTATTCAAAATCTACCGATCCTCTCCAGCCATTGGCCGCCCACATCACGTCCCTGCTCACGCGCGATAGTCCCGAGACCTCCGACATCGTGGTAACTGCGGGCGAGGAGGATGTGTATCTACATAAATTCATATTGGCAGCACGGTCGCCCTATTTCCGCAAAAAATTGGAAAGCGCCCCCGAAACTGTAACCTGGAAACTTCCAAGCGCTGTTCCGCCCCAATCCTTTGGGGCGGCGATCAGGTATCTGTATTTCGGAGAGGCCCCGCGTGATCTGAAGACGGGCCCTGGCACGGGCTTTACTGAGTCGGAGGTTTTTGTTGGAATTGACAAAATTGCCAAGTACCTGGAAATCAACGCCCTTTTGGACAGCATTTTGGATAGCGGAGACCGCCGGCTAGCCAGACAGAGACGAACCTTGGAACTTGCGAAAGGCAGAGACCAATTGGAAGAATGGTTCCGAACTAATGTCCTTCGGAACAAAATGGAAGTTGAGACTTCCAAGGTTGATGAGATCAAATGGAATCATGATAACGCCATCTTCGCCGATGTCCTACTCCAGGCGGATGAACTGCCTGAGGACGAAGATCTTGATGATACCTTGCAGACAGATGAAGGTACTGATTCAAGCACCATTCCAGTCGGGCCAGTCGACTCTTCTAGTACGTCGAAGAAATCTGCTCCAAAGTCGGTTATATTTCCGTGCCATCGGGCGATGCTTCTTCGGTCTGAGTTCTTCCTTACCATGTTTTCGTCTTCTTTCAGAGAGGCCCATCTGAAAGAGCACTTGAACGTTATCTCCGTGGACTGCTCTCCAGAAGTCCTGGAGATTATCCTTACTTTCCTTTACACCGAAAGGGCTGATTTCCCCCTTGACATCGCGGTCGATGTCCTATTCGCGGCTGACATGTTGTTCATCGAGAAGCTTAAGACCAAGGCCGCCGTTGTAATCGGCACACTTGGCAACGGCGATATGTCGCAGGCCGAGGCTGCAAAGACTCGCGGCACCCAGGAAGAAGATGACTTGGATATATATGCGATTATTCGCGCTGCATGGTTGACCCGTGTTCAGCGACTGGAAGAATTCGCGGCTCGGTATCTTGCGTACAGACTGGAGGCTCACATCGACTCTCCCGAATTTTCCGATTTGATTCAAGAATCGGCTGCTCGTATTCAGGGAAGACAAGAAACAGATTCCATCGAACTGCTCGATGATATCCGGTTCTACCTAGGGGAGCGCTTCCGACTCCGGTTCGATGATGCCGGCCTAGAGGAGATGATGGAGGAGGAGACCCGACAGCAGCAGGAGAAGGAGGATCACGACGACCATGTTGACAAGGCCGTGAACGCAATCGAGAATGGAACCGCGGAGCTCGAGCTAGAGAACAAACATAACGCGCAATCTGCCGAGACTACTCCTGAACAACTTGACCAGGACAAGTCGGATCATGCACCTGTCATCAAGACTTTGGACGGCCAGGTGGTGGACGACGAGTTCAGCAAAGACGCTATGGACTACGAAATCCTGTTAGACAAACTCGACAAGATCCTGGAGGACCTGGACTTGGATGCTTAAGCAGAGTTTTGGGAATGATGGCGGAGTTAAACAACGCCAGACCGAGTCAACGATTGAACGATTCACGCAGAGGTATATACAAAAGAATCTGCATATACAGCATATATTCACATATAAAATGGTAGATACTCTCATAAATATCATGGCCATCTTATGCACAAAATCTATGATACCAACCTCTTCCTTCGGTGTGTAGATCTTCCTTAAACCACCAAATCGAATACACACGCCCACCTACCTACCCTAGACAACCCCAACAAGGCAAAACAGACGAATGAACCAGAACCTTAATCATCTCCAACTCTACCCCGACCCAACTTAACAAAACCCATGGGGATCAAAATTGTGGGGGGTCAAGTGATCTGAGTCTTCCAGAAGCCATGAAACAGCCGCAATCCACGGAACGGGAGCAAGAGAGACAATTTACGGACCAATCCAATCCTAACAATCTAATTCCTACAAGGGAATACTGAAACATGGGACGAACTCACTCACGCACTCACTCAGTCATTCGCTCAATTAACGCGGTTCCCGTAGTTCTTGCTCGGCAAGTCGTAGAGGCGCAGTAAAGTAAAGTTCAACGTCCACGTCAGTGTCAGTGTCAAGATTTACAATGCGTGTTTGAAGATTTGAAAGCTAAAAAATTAGATTTGCTTAACCTTTTTTTTTTGTTTGTTTGGCAGTCTTATTGTTGTGGTCGGGGGGAGGCGGAGTTAAGTGATTCAGGCACTGACTGTCTGGTGACCTAGGAATTGAAGTGTTTCGCTGTTCTGTGGAACGAGGGGCGACAGGGGGTCGTTTCTTGATCTTTGGGTATAGGATGATGTGGCTGTGTGAAGTAAGTTTCGAAGAATGGGTTTTCTATGAAGAGGGGTTGGGTTGGGCATGGATCCTGTATAATAGGTTGTATCAAGATAAACAAGAGTAGGGCTAAGAGAAGCGTTACTTCATTTCCTGGACTAGATTAAAACGAGTAAATCAAGGTGTTTACTTTTTCTAAGGCTGAATAGAGTCCCATGCTGATAGGGAAAGTACTTCTAAAGACAGCAAAGACAGACGCAATGATCTACACATGCACAAGATTTGAGATCGTAAGAAATACAAGTTTCTTCTAATAATGCTAGATAGTCATATCACATCATCAATGTTAAGACAAAGGAAATGAATGACACAAAGGAAATAAGAAAATGAAAAAAATGAAAAAATAAAAGCAAGCTCATATGGGACAAACCAGAGGGAATAAAACACAGGACTCCGAAATGCATGCCCATGTCTTTCTATCCCTCTTTATAGTTCTTTCCCAGGCCAGCCTCTTTCTTCTTTCCAGCGACGCCTCTGCTCCCTTTTCCACAAGAAAAAAAAAAATAAAAGTTTCAATCAAATGTACACACGAAGAGAAGATGAAATGAAGAAATCAATCCATGTTTAGTTCCCCGAGACACCTTATCCACCTGTGATAAAAGTAGCAGGGGATATGAAACAAGAAACAAAACCAGGAAATGAAAACATGAACAAGAGGGTATCATCAAAACAAATCAAAGTAGAGCAGGAAGTCGCTGGGTGGATTTGCAGGATTTTATATCAATGTGTGGGTTTTTCTGTTCCTTTCTTTCTTTTATTTTTGGGTGTTTTTGTTTTTTTGGTTTGTTTGGAAGTTGCGTTCCGCGAGGCAAGTTAGACCATGGCGGTAGCGACTGGTCGACCGGTGTGGCAGCCCCGTTCGTGACGCTTCATGTTACTCCGTACACTGAAGGCCTTGCCGCATCCTGCGTGAGTGCAACGGAAGGGCTTCTCGCCGGTGTGGCTGTGAGAGTGAATGCGGAGGCTGGAAGGACGGGAGAAGGCCTTGTGGCAGGTGCGACAGATGTATCGGTCATGGTTCTGCTGGAACGCTCCGGCGGTGGAAGGGGGGAAGTAGTGATGATGTTGCCAGGCGTTGGCGACCTGAGGGATCATTTGTTGAGTCGAGGAAGACGGCAGAGGAGCAGCTTGCGCGGGCGCGCTCTGGTAACCCGACGATCTGGGTCTTTGGTAGTATACAGCGGACGAGGCAGGCGGGTCGATGGGAGACGAGTAGGAAGCCACGCTGGGAGCGGGGGAAACATAAGGAGCATGCTGAACGGAGCCCTGGCTCGAGATCGAGGACCGGTCCGTGGGACTAGGCAAGCTCATTTGCGTCGGGGGGTAGGATTCCGTCTTGATGGCCGAGACAGAAGATACGGACGGAGAGTGGCCATTGCTGTGGAAACCTGAGCCAGGTCGCAACGGCGGAGTGGGCGGCATGTTGGTGTGAGGTCCGCTGGGAGCGAAGGTCTCGCGGACTTTAGCCTGAGACCGGATTTCTGCCTCCCCGTGCAATGGCGGGGTAGTTCTTTGGCGCTCTGTATAGAGGGTGTCGTTAGTGAGTATTTAATGGTAGGACTTACAGTGCGCTCTAGTTTGCGCATTGCAAGATTGGATATACATACTGGCTGCGTGCATTGCGGCACCTTCGGCACCTTCCAGGAGAGAGGAGATGGAAGGAAGAGAGCATTTGGGGACATCGTCCACTGGCGGGGAGAGGGGCGGCTGCGGTGTGCGCGAATACGATTTCGGGACCGATGGGAAGTATGAGCCCGCAGCAACAGGGCTGTACGACGCCCGGGGCTTGTAGAGGGGATCGGGACCCGGAGTAATGAGGCTTGCGAGATCCATGATGTCAGATGTCGAGGTGGGAGAGGTAGAGTAAAGGTGGTGGTTGGAGGTTGGTTGAGTAGAAAGATTGGAGATAGGGAAAGAAAAAAAAAAGTAGAGAGAAGAGGTGAGGCCAGAGATAGATATATTAAGTGGCTATGGGCGAACCATATATGAGATTAGGTAGGGCAGATGGCGAACAGGCAATTTCAAGACCCAATCCGAATCCACATTCACGTTAAGGTACAAGTGGGGGTGGGAGAATGGGAACAGGGGGGAAGGAAAGAACGGGGTTTATAGACAAAGAACGACGAGGGAGGATTTGCTGGGCCAGGTGGGGAGCAGGGAATAATGATAATTATTTTCGAAAATGAAATAACAATTAAAAGAAAAGAAATAAAAAAGCGGATGATGATGATGGGATGGATTTCTTAATTTTCTTTTTTTGCGAGTAGTAATAATAATCCCTATTAATTAATTAAATTTTTTTAATTTTTTTTTTTTTTTTTAAAAAAAAAAAAAAGGAGGATCGATCCTAATGTTAATTATAGCCTGGCGGGTATACTCCGTCGTCGTAAACGAGGAGATGCGCGGAGGTTAACCTGATAGGTATAGAGCCGAACAGCAGAATGACGGGAGTCTCCCGATCCTCCTTCCTGGTTTTCTTCTCTTTGCCCCTTGAACCAGACCGGCAGGGGGTTTTTTTTACACCTGATTTTTGGACACACCTCCCACTTCTCTTTGTCATGATCTACCCTATAGCAATTTTTCCTGCAATGGAGGTCGAACAAATCCAGGGACGCTGTCGATTGATGCCAAACATCCCGGCAAAATACGATACCTGTAATGAATAATGAATTATCCCGAGCCCGCAGTGGCCACTTTCTCGATTCGCTTCGACAAAGGGCTGATACCTCCGTTCCAAAGCTTAATTAATGACCAGCGGCCTGGGACTCCGTACACGCGATGTCTTTCTTTTTTTTTATTCAATTATTTTCGTCGTTTAATTTATGGTTAATTTATTTTTTTCCATTTCGCTTTTTTTTTTATTTTTATTTTTAGCGCTTTGGGTATGGTACGGTATCTCTCCGTATGGAACGGAGCTAGGATGATTTGCCATTAGTAGGTATTGTTTTGGGTAGGCTCGACGAGAGCTAAAAAAACGTGTCTCTCCGCCCGCCCCAGAAACCACGACGCCCTGGCGAATGGTTCGAATGGAGCCGGGTTAGTCAGAATCATTCCTTCTCCTTCTCCCCCTCCTCTCCTACGTCGCCTGCTTCCTTCTCTTGAATTTGGGATGATTTTATGGTTTGGCCCACGAACTATGGAAGTCTCAGGATGGACTGGAAACTCCCACAGGAATACCAACGGCCCCCTCAAATCCAATCCAATCCTTCCAAATCCAAGCCAAGGGCGACTATTTCCCCAAACGGGTAATTCCCCAAATTCCTCAAAACGAGCGTTCTGAGGATCAGGAATCTTCCCTGTCTAGCCCTCCCTGGGAACCAAGATAGAAGGGGATAGATGATACACCACGCGGTAAGTGTACGTAACCGCGTCGTACACAGATCGGCCGGTGGACAACGGTACTTTCGGGGCTCGGCTACAGCAAGTCTGGCGCTAGTGCAGATCCACGGACACCTTTCCTCCTCCATCATGCGCCGGGAGACAGTCAATCATCGATCATCATTAATCATGGGGACATGACTGTGCCTCCCTCCCATTTCTCTCTCTGAATCTCTCGCTCGCTCTCGCTCCAATGATCCCATTCCATGGCAACGTATCCCACCTATGCTGTATTTAAATGGGTCGTTACGTTACCCATCCTCCGAGTCCGTTTTTACTTTTTTTATTATTATTGTTTTCTCTGTTACCCCAACCCTTTTTCATACTAGGGTACGGAGTATATTAGATGATTACCGTAGAATATCATCCTATATCATATAAATTAATTTAAAATAACTATCATCATCATGATTTCCCAATCCTGGACTCTGACCGAAATGGCCCTTTCTCACCAGCGATCGTCTCGGGTGGATCAGGCTCCGTCCCTCAGGTTTTACCTGTCACAACGATCCCATGCCCCATAAACGGCTGATCGTTGCCGCACGATCACGCTGTTACTGACTGAGAGCCTGATCTCATGTTTTCTACCCTTTCCTCCCACCAAGGATTATTTCCCTTGTAGATCCCTCGGTGAGCACTGAACGCACAGCGAAAGGCTGCCAGGACGGAAAAGACCTCGGCGTAGTAAAGTAGTTGCTGCAACTAAGGTGGTACGGTGGTACCGTTGCACTGTGCTTGCCCTTGGAGGCAACCTCTTTCCACAGTGTCGGGATTGCTCAGATCACTTGTTCGGCTTTCCATGCGTTGTCTTCCCTGTTCAGTTCCCAGTCCATTTGCATATCCGTCACCAACCTCCTCGTCCCTTCCCCCCTTTTTTCTTTGTTTGATAGTCCTACCGAACTACGTAGTACTCCGTTCTGTTGGTTGGGGGTCATAAATGTACTATGTATGTACCTCGGTCCGGCCTTAGTTACCTACTTAGAAGAAAACCAACCCCATAAGAAACTCTTCAGCGAAATTAAGGCCAAGATAATCGAAGATTCCTTTCGCCCTTTCGCCCTCCGGGGGATGATCACCGATCACAGACGAAGGGGAGGGAGGGGGCCAGCAAGAGGGACGATGCTTAGCATTAACAGGCCATTTAAAAAAAAAAAAAAAAAAAAAAAAAGCAAAACCAATAGTCGACAGCTCCCTTCTGGGATGGGAAATGACTACGTGCATTCTATTGTCAACCAAGCCCTTGGGGCCGGATGACGGAGGAGCGGTACGATGCGTGGAATGGCACCTCCTGCCGTGACTGGCGCCAACCCGAATCAGATCTAGGCTCCGAGTCCAGGAAGGGAAATCTGTGAACGATTTCCATCCTTTTTGCATCCTTTGACCTTTCGCTTGGGGGCCAAGGGATTTTAGTGGCGTGAAGGAACCGGAGATTATCGTGGCGTTGACAGCCAACCAGAGTATTAGGGAAACTTTAAAAAACGACGGCGCTAAAGGGGGGAGAGAGACAGGTGAATGAATAAGCCCCTAGTAAGCGGCTATTCTAGCCAAGGTTATTTGTGTCTTGTCCTTGCTTGGTCTTTGCGTCTTATTATTATTATTTTTCTTTTCTTAATTTATTTTATTTTCTCATGGGGTTTTCTTTCATGATGCAGGACCGGAGATTCGGACTGTGACGCAGTCCAGCGAGAGCAAGTCCATACCGCAGCGCTTTTGCGTTCGGGTGGATTGCTCATCACACAGACTCGACGATCCGCCTGGATTGATCGGACGATGCCCGTACCTGGCGGACTTGACGGGTCATCATGATGACGTCGATCTTGCCTTTTTGCCTTTTTTCTTCTCTTCTATTTTGCCAAACACCGCCCTGCTGAATGCGAAGTATACACTCCGTATTCAGAGTCCGTACTGAGCACCACCCCCTTCTCCGTCCCAGATGTCTAGACCAACGGATCTATGAAACTAATCCCTAAAAAAGAAGGCAACCAGGTACACGGTACATAGCCGATGGGTGAAAATCCCATAACCAAGGATGTCAATCCCCACAGACAGGTACCCTCGTCCCAGTTCATTAACAGAGGATACGCTCCCAATTTCCCTTCCATTGGGATCGACCGTCAAAGTCCGTGTCCGAGACAGCTGCGGGATTCGACACCGTCTAACAGTCGACACCTAGGCCCTAGACGTACTCCGTAGAAATTCCTTGGGTTGATTGGCTTGGCTTTTTTGAGCGGGTTCCTTGGTAGCCACGAGATACCTCGGCCGGGATGGACGCTCGCTAAGAATCCGAAAGGGTTATGGAGACGAGGTGGGACTACTACTGGATGATCACCAGAACATCCGTACTCCGTAGGTTCTGGAAACAATTTCATTAATTAACCCATGAGTCGTAAAACGTCAGGAAATCGCGGTGGATGTTGTTTTACGGAGTGTGTTGTCTAACTTGTCTTAGACGTTTTAACGATCTTGTCTTTGAATTAAAAAAATAAAGAAAGAAAGAATAATAAATTAGGTGGAAAAAAAAAAAACTTTTTATTTTTCGCGATCCCGCATGATCATCGCGCTGTTCACTAGCGACGGGCCCCTCCGCCGCAAAGCTGATTACCACATGGTCCTCAAGTCCTGTGCAACACCGCAGCAAGCTGGCGATCAAATACGGCAATGCTCCCGTTGTGAGCAGCAGCGCCATCACATCTAGCTGCTTCCATATATAGAGTACATCAGGCAATAGTGTAGAAACGATGGGAGGACAACGATGCGAGACAAAACCATCTGCATCACCAACCCCCTTACAACGCACGGAGGACTCAGATTTTGCCGAGGTACGTCCGATCGGGTTAGCCGCCGAGCATTCCGTCAATCCATCTCTCAATAATCTCATCCTTTTCATTCATTCTCGAACAAGCACAGACCGACGACTAAGAGAGAGAGAGAGAGAGAGACACGCAGACCAGGAGTCCTACCCTAGTCCGCACGAGTCCGAGTCAAGTCAAGTTAATTAAACCACCTCGAATCCCATAATCCATCGACCCAATCGTACCAAACTTTAATAAACGACATACGGCCGCGACGAGAGTCCAGTGTCTCGTGGAAACGAAGAGCTTGCCGGCAGCTCCAATCAAATGGAGCGGATGAGTCGGCAGGGACGGCGAAAGCTCGAAGCAACTCCCAGGACGCCCCATCGGTTCATACCGGATCGGGAAGCGCATCTCCTTCCCTCACGACTCGCGTATATTAAAGTAGATTGTCAACCACGGGATCTTTAATCTGGGCCCTCATATATTCCAGGCAACTGGATTACGGGAAGCCGTTCATGGGAATGAATGGGCCATGGCCCATAGGCCACGTTGTAACCTCCGCCCGTCCCCATTCCATCGTAGGGATGGGACCGTCGGTATCACTATCGGGATTCGACCCTAGAACGAACTGGCGAGCTATACTACTGTACTCCGTGTTTT